TTACATCAGCAATTAATTTGCCATGCAGTGTTTGGCAGTGGTCATTTAAATTACATTAATTTTAAAAATCCACTTACCTTACATAGTACATATGGATTCCGGAAACGGCACTTAAGTAGTAAAGAGCTATCATCTGTCACTATTTAACTAATAATCAATGCCTTATTGTTAACACCTATTCTCATGGACAGTAATGGAGATTTTATTTCAACTGAGGTAGAACAGATTCATGAAAAATCTTGCTCCCCTCTTCTGTCTTGGGCATCAGTACCCATCAGTTGAATTCCTCAAAAAAATCATATTCAAAAGTTAGGCTCCTGCATGGAAACTAGTTCAGGCAGTTGGGATATATTGAGATTTACAAATGGAGTTAAAAAAACAGAGTTTAGCTTTTAAATTATTGGATAGCTAAAAATATGCCTTACTCAAAATGACCCTGATCTTACTGCCTTTGAATTCTGTGGCAAAATTCTCATGGACATCAGTGAGAGCAAAATTAGGCTTGTGGTTGCATGAATAGATACTCCACTTAGCATGAATGGGTGTTTCCCCATGGCTACGTCTAGACTGGCATGATTTTCCGCAAATGCTTTTAATGGAAAAGTTTTCCATTAAAAGCATTTGCAGAAAAGAGCGTCTAGATTGGCACGGATGCTTTTCCGCAAAAGCACTTTTTGCGGAAAAGCGTCCATGCCAATCTAGATGTGCTTTTGTGCAAAAAAGCCCCAATCGCCATTTTCGCCATCGGGGCTTTTTTGCACAAAACAAATCTGAGCTGTCTTTTGCCCGAACGGGAGCAGCATAGTATTTCTGCAAGAAGCACTGATTTCTTACATGAGATCGTCAGTGTTTTTGCAGAAATTCAAGCGGCCAGTCTAGACACAGCCCATGTGTATCCCTAATGCAGGGCTCCATTTCTGAACCCATAATATGATAATTGCCTTTGTGACTTTCTCTGTGGTCTGAGTCTATTCAAAGGCACATCAGTCATTTTCTCCATACAAGTTCTGGAGTTCTCTTCCTTGCATATTTTTCTATCTTTAAACTAAAGCCTTTTCAACTTTCAGCTACAGCAGAAGTGGAGCAAATATTCTGAGGTGTTTATGTAAATAGCAATAGGACTATTTGCCAGTGTGTTTCCTTTCCACTCATGAAGGTGACAGATCAAATACTTAAACTAAGAAAATCTGTGTCAGTTTAGTATTTTTGTTTAATCCATTTCTTTGTAATACAGTCAGGAATCCCTAAAGACAACTGAGTTCTATTAGAAATAAGTTTACTGTTCAGTGGCTGCAGTTATTCTGACACACATTTTCTTTTTTTTTTTTTTTTAGGGCTGAGAATGAGGGGTATATTTTCCCTAATGAAAGGAGAATAGACTCTTTCCTGTGCATAGGTGGCTGCCAGATTAACACTAATCCATCAGGTTAATGAGCCACAAACTAATAATTTTCAATCTTTTGGAGCTATTCCTGTCAGCAGTTGACTCAAATGACTCTTGATTAATGAGAAGTTTTAATTAATGAATCACCAGCCTAACAAGCAAACTAAACATTTTTAAAGTAGGATGGGACATAGAACACTGTATCAGACTTGTGAGCAACCTGTATTTTAATCCTTCCCTAGTTCCAGTACATATTCATCAACGCACCTGAATAAGGTGCTCTAAAATCCTCTATGGCAGTGGTCACCAACCAATAGATCTTGGTGCATCTGACAGGTGATCCTGACTGGTTTGGCCCTGTGGTTATCAAGTGCAGGGGAGGATATACGGCAGGGCGAACGGGGCAGCCGCCCCAGGCCCTGCGTGTCAGAAAGCCCCGTGCATGCACCGTGGCATCGCTGCGCATGCACTGTGGCAAAGAGGGGCCCTGCTGAATTATGCTGCCCGGGGCCCCGCAAACGGTCATCTGCCCCTGATCAAGTGCCAGCACTTCAGCTGCTCCGTGTCCCACTGCTGTGCATCTCTGGCCCTTTGCCTTGGAGCTGTTAACCCAAGAGCCTCCTGCTTGCTGTGCAGGGAAGGAGAGAAGGACGCTGATATCAAGGTGCCCTCCTTCTTCCACCCTGTATCCCATCTCTACAGAGCAGAGAAGGGGCACAACAGGACTAGGGATAGAGCAAGTTTTCTGACTGCTTTTGGGAGTGGTGCAGGGCTAGGGCAGGAGTGAGCCTGCCTTAGCCCCACTGCACCACCACCTAGGAGCCTACTGAGGTAGCAGTGTCCAGCTGGAGCCTACATCCCAAAACCCTACCCAAGTCATGAACCCCCTCCTATACCTCAAGCCTCTGCCCTAGCCCTGAACCCCCGGGCATCCAACACCCTCCCAGAGCATGCACCTACAACCCCCCCCTCCGCCCTGCAACACAACTGCCTGCCCCAAGCTCAGCTCAGAGCCCCTCACACGCTAAATCCCTTAACCCAAGACTAAAAACTGCACCCCAGCCCTCTGCCCCAGCCTGGTGAAAGTGAGTGAGTTGGGAGGAGGGAGTGAGCTGAGGCGGGGCCTCAGAAAGATGCAGGGCAAGGATATTTGGGTTTGAGGTAGATCTTGCATTGTACTTCAATTCAAAAAGTGATCTTGTTTTTGAAAAGGTTGGAGACCCCTGCCCGATGGTGTTTTTGTTGTTCCTGGTAAACTCTCATGGAGGAATCTGCCCTGCTGGCATATAGAACTGTTAGGCTACGTCTAGACTGGCATGATTTTCCAGAAATGCTTTTAACGGAAAAGTTTTCCGTTAAAAGCATTTTCGGAACAGAGCGTCTAGATTGGCATGGATGCTTTTCCGCAAAAGCACTTTTTGCGGAAAAGTGTCCATGGCCAATGTAGACGCACTTTTGCGCAAAAAAGCCCTGATTGCCATGTTTGCCATCAGGGCTTTTTTGCGGAAAACAAATCTCAGCTGTCTACACTGGCCCTTTTGTGCAAAAGTTTTGCACAAAAGGGACTTTTGCCCGAATGGGAGCAGCATAGTATTTCCACAAAAATTTGTATTTCTTACAGTAGGAAGTCAGTGCTTTTGTGGAAATTCAGGCGGCAAGCTTTTCCGGAAAAGCGGTTGATTTTCTGACAAAACTGGCCAGTCTAGACACAGCCTTATTGTTTTCATTCTCAAACTCCCACCTGTGGAGTGCGTTGGGCAGATGCACTCACTCCGCTTTCCCTGAGGCACCTACTGCCTCAGGAGGGGGAAGGGGCACTACCATCATGAAGCACCACGCACCCCAGTGGTCCCCAAGGTGGCATGTTTAGCAAATGGGTGCCATGCGCTGAGAGGTAAGAGTGATGCTGCAAAGGAGCAGCACTTGGGGCCAGTAACAGACAGTCTCACACACACACTCAGCCTACCAGGAGTCCTGGGCTGAACTACACAATTCCTCCTGCCAGGACTGGCCTGGGCCAGGAGTTTGAGACCCCTGTGGTAGGGAGAGAATAAGGGAAAGCTTCAGAAGTAACTGTCCCCTTCATCCACCTTAAAACTCTTCCCTCTCTATTTTGGAGCTGTTAGTTGAGGCAATATAGTCATAATGCTCTTGAGGTTTATTATAAACACTAAAAGTGACCAGTTTATATAGAACAGCAGCACCACCCCCAACTTCCAGCCAACCAAACTGCCTCTACCTCAGCTTCTACTTTGCTGCCTTTTGTTTGAGAGCACATTGAGTAATGTTAAGTGCCTTACCAAGAACCAAGAGCTATTTACAGCTCTGTAGTAAACACAGCTCTTCCAAAAGAAATGAACTAGAGTCACCCCATCCCTTCACACACAGATGAAATTTTTCTGTACAGATGTTAGTGTACATATTTTTATCAGTCAGTACAACAAGTATCCCTACATAGACAGTTTTAGCTCTGGTAATAACTAACAGGCAGGTGAAGCTTGTTGGACTTTGAGGACACCTTCATTCATGACTGTAAACTTTGAAATCCTCCCTTTGAAAGCACTATAGAAGTGCATATTATTATTAACTGTAATAATATGGGGCTGAGCCTGATCTCACAGTGGTGTAAATTAGGAGTAATCTCATGAAGGTATGCTGGTTTTATTCCAGTGAGAGATCAACATCAGGATATAGAAAAGTCTCAGAGGGGTAGTAGCTGTGTTAGTAACTTTAAAAAAATGAGTAGTCCCATAGCAGTGTAGAGACTTTATAGATATAAAGATAGATAGATTAGATAGATAATTATAGATATAGATAGTTTCATGGGCAAAATTCACTTCCTCAGATGAGCAGAGAAAAAAGGGGGAACTTTACAATATATAACAGAAAAAGAAGAGGGGGGAGGAAAAAAGATCTATTTATCTTTTGTGTATTATTGTACATCTGTAATATGGCAGCCACCATACACAGCTGCTGCATTAATAAAACATGCTGCGTTAATAATACAATATTATCCCCGTAAACTGCAGCTTGAACACTTCTCTGCATTGCAGGAGAAACACCCTTCATGAGTCCCCACTTCATAAAGGGAGAAAACACTGCGATCAATAGGAGAGGAAATGAAATGGATATGCAGGCACTCCGAAAATTCATGGGAGTGCGTAAAACTGTAATTTAAATGTATACACGTGTGTGCAAAGCATGTTGGGACCCAACTGAAATTTTGTAAAAAAAAAAATCTATTTTAAAGCCCCCGAGCCCTTGGCTGCAGAACAGAGTATTGGGGTGGGGGAGGCGCGGGTGTTGGGAGCTGCTAGTGTCTCTGTTTGCAGCAGGACATCTGTGAGCTCAGCTGAGCGATACGGATCAGATGCTCAGCATTCCAGCCTTTAGGTCTTTTTTCACACTGGCGCTGACCAATCATTAGCGAGCGCTCATCCTCTCCTTCCCCCTCCCTCCTCAAGCCTCTCCTCTTTCCCAGGAGGGACGAGAGGGGGTCCATCTCCGCCCCCCTCCCCACAGACCGGCGGGGGACGGCCAATGAGAGGGGAAAGCGCTGGCAGACTAGACCGCTGCCTTGAGCATGCGAATGGGGTGGGGAGCGGGCGAAGCAGGGACAGGTGGCGGGGGAATGAGAGAGGGAGCCGTGCATATAAATTGCTACTGCCCTACCTCTGCCACCGGTTGATCCATGGGAGCGAGACGGTGAAGGGCAGCTGTAGACATTAAGGCTGGGTTGATAGGTGTTCAGGAGTGTTGCATTGCCTATTTCGAAGGGCTTGTTTTCACTGCAGCTGGAAGCAGCTCTTGTAAATAGACACACTGTGATTGTACTTCTGTGAAGTTTTAGTAGGTAAGGCGAAATCAGGTGGGCTGGTTCCACTGACAAGTGAATTAACTTTGCTCTCAGTCTGCTTTCAAGCTGAGCCTCCTTTCAGGAGGAAGGAAAGAAAGGCTTTGATTGGACACTAGAAAAACTATTGGAGGGGGTGAATTTTAATGTTTTGGCTTGTGTAATTAAACTCCAAGACGCCTCCCCCCCCCCCCTTTTCATGTCTTGGCAGACGAACGTTCTCTCTCCAGAGTTGCTATGAGTTGAAGCTGCTGTAGTGTCTCTTAATAACTTGTTTTGTTTGTAAGCATGCAACCTGTGCTTCTCTTTCAGTAAACCAGAAGGGTGTAGAGACCTCTTGGAGGTTACAGTATACTTTAAAATGGTTGCCACTAGCAGTCTAAGCAGTAAAAGCACCGCATGCATTTCAGAACTGATACACCAAGGCTTTCACCTTGCAAATGTAACTGGTGAGTATCTTTGACCTTCTCAACCTCCCTGTTTTTACCTTTTTAAAAAAAATAAGGTGGGAGAGGGGTCCATCCCCAAGTGGTGTTCTAGACTATCATTCTGTGCTAGTGAAGGGCTGAGCAGCTGAGCGAAGGTAGTGCTCATGAATTATATGATTTCTGATGGAGGGGGGGAGGAGAACAGATACAGAATGTCATAGAGCAACCTCTAATATTTAGGGTTCTATAATGATCCTCATGGCTAGCTAGAGAAGCAGCAAAGATGATTCTATTAAACTTTTCAGAATGAGTGGAAGATCAGATTTTTGTAATTACTATTTGGTGAGAATTGCTGTGGATTTTCCTGATTCACTCATGTGGCTTTAAACAAATTTATTAACGGTCTTATATTGTTAATGCACTTGCAGTATACTTTGTGGCTTTCAGTAGCTTACTAGGATAAGTAAGCTACTTTCTTCCATGTACCTACTAAAACAATCACCTCACTTGGGAGCCTACTACACTACAGACTGATCACATTAGAAAGCAGATGACCAAGAGTAAAGTTATGCAAACTAGCTTCATGAGTTTGGGGTTGGCTTTTTTTTGGTGGGCATGGGGATTTAACTTTTGTATCCTCCTGAAGTAACAAGCATTAGTAGTCGCTGTGAAATCCTCTCCTTAGTGTGAAACAAAGTAAGGAAAACATTCTCCACCAATACCCATTTGTGAATTACACTGATTAACTTTGCTGAACTTCAAGTGACTGCAGAGTGCTGTTGGTGGAAAAAAATAAAATATGCATAGTTTTAATTCTCATTCATGTAAGAAACACTATGTTGAAACTGTAATATGCTGGCTTGCTTACTATCACTATTTAATACTTCAAGAAAATTCACAGGTATGTTTGTCTGTCTCATGCCAATTACTGGTATGTTACTCTGTTTTCTTCCTCATGTCTTCTTCTGATTGATTCTCCTGCAGACTTTGACTACTGGGATTACATTGTACCTGAACCCAACTTTACAGAGGTGGTGTTTGAGGAGAGAACCTGTCAGAGTTTAGTTAAAATGTTGGAGAACTGCCTGTCCAAATCAAAGCAGACCAAACTTCACTGCTCAAAGGTTCTGATACCAGAAAAGCTAACCAAGAGAATAGCTCACGATGTATTGTGGCTTTCTTCAACTGAGCCCTGTGGTTTGAGGGGCTGTGTTATCCATATCAATTTACAAATTGGAAATGTATGTAAAAAGCTGGATAAAATTATCTATGACCCCAGTGTTGTTCCTACTTTTGAACTGACACTTGTGTTCAAGCAGGACTGTTGCTCGTGGCCCAGTTTCAGGGACTTTTTCTTTACCCAAGCTTGTTTTGCAGCTGGCAGCAAACGTACTCTGATTCTAAGTCCTGGGTTTAGGCTTATTAAGAAAAAACTGTACTCATTGATTGGGACAGTTATTGAAGAATGCTAGAAATCTTGTTGCACATTTAAAACTGCACCTGAGGCCACGAACTAAAATTCACAAGTGGAGTTTGATAACCTGAATTTTTAAGAGGTATCTACACTTTGAGTCCATGCACAGAAACCAGTGTGTTCTGTTTATGCTATGCCAACAATTCAGTGTATAAACCTTCAGGCTGGCATAAGATCTTCCCAGTGCAGTTTATTGCCTGTTTATTTCTGGGTCTGAAGAAAAGGCTGAAACAAGAGGGAAGGAAAGCTAATTTTTTTGTTACTTAAAACTTATAGCTAGCATCTGACTGACCTGTCTTGCAGTCAACCAGGTAATTATTACTGAAACTTTTTAAATATAAAGCTCTTATGCCATAGAATTATTTATATCAGTATAGGGTTATAGTTATGAATATTTTTCACCAAAAACTATGGAGTTCTTATTAAATCATGTTGAGCTAATTAAACTGTGGCTGTCAAACTCCTCTACCCAACTCAAGAAATAAATCTTACCTTTTAAAAGGTACCAGACTTATAAACCTGGTGCAAAAGCAAATATTTTCTTAAGGGTTATGTAGTAAACCTAATTCACTCATTCTGAGGACTATGCCAAATTGCAGTGCAGTTTCAGCAACATGCCCTCTTAAAATTTTGATGTATTTAGGGGCAACTTAACTGACTTCTGTTTCATCTAGTCATTTGAGTTTGAATATTTGCTGTTGTTAAAACTTGGGGAAACAATGCAATTTGGGTCATGACAGTGGATTTAAATTGCTGAAGTAGAAATGCTAAATCATTGTCTTAGAAAACACTTGCCTACCTCATACTCTGTTTTGAAAATGAAATAGGAATGTCTGTCAGGATTCCCTTCTTTTGCTGGGTAGAAAACAACTGCATAATAGGATTTAGTCATGTGCCTTTCTCCAAGTAGAACCAAGAAACACTTTTGTTGGTACTCTTGTTGGCTCCTTTCCAAAGGCTAGAAGATCTCTCTTCTGGCATGTTAATTTTGTAAGCTTTTCTTTTGGTGGTATGGAGGACTGAAGCCCCACTGAAGTGGCCCTCTGGTTCAGGCAATTTCTCCCTTTCTTGATCCTACCCTCTTAATTATCCAAATAGCTAAAGTTTAGCTAAGTGCTCAAACTTATGCTTTATATTGCTGCTCAGTGGTCACTTCTCCCTCCCCCCCTCCCACCCCTCCCCCACTGAAATAGTGATGGCCACTGTAACTCCACTTCTTTCAGAGCCACTATGCAATATGGGAGATCAGGAGGTAAAGGCTTGCCTAATCATCTAGTCTTCTTTTCCCTGCCATGCTTCTTAGCATGTGCCCAGAGAACAGTTACTAAGCAAAAGCTAAAAGGTCCACTGTGTGTCTTGGTTGCTGGCACTTGGTGATCTTCAACAGAAGAGAGAGAAATAGCCTTGGCAGGCAGGAGCCAAATGGCTTAGCTCCTCGCAATCATTCTCTTGTCTTGCAAGTAGTTGAGAGAAATCAACATGTATGAGTCACTTGTGGTACAATTTGACACTTACCACGAGTATGGGTAGAGGAAGGGAAAATGTGTTCTCAATCAAGTTGCATTTTAGGTACACAATGTAACAGGCTTAGGTGGATTACAAAACTGCACTCTTCTAAGATTTAGAAGCTGCCACACCTCTCAGCAATTGAGCCTTTAGCTTACTAAAGCAGGACTAGTGTAAACTGACTTGCTTTGCACTTGTACTGCCTTTTAACGTTCATGCCTTCAACTGTGGTGTCACTGTATTGTTGGATCTCGCTGCACTGATGTATAGATGTTAATCCTCTCTGCCTGACCTGTTCTCTGGCTTGCCTTTCCAGCTTCAAGATAACAATTACTTACAGGCATTGTTCTTGAAACTGATTCCTGTGCAAGGAAACATTTGTCATGACAATAAAAATTTATATTTTTAACTTTTTGAATTTAGGTTGTCTTTGAGATCGTTATTCATATTATGGTAGTGCACGGGAGCTCCAGTCAGACTGGGAACCCACTGTTCTAGGTGCTGTACAATTCCTGCCCCAAAGTAAAGCATAAAACAAGCAACAGATGGCTAGTGGTAGATGAGGGAGTATAAGGAAACAATGAGAGAATGTCATCTGTCCTGAGTTGTTAGCCTTTTTGGTCTGCTCAACCAGATATGTATCACTTTTGCATGACCATAAAGAATGTAACTGGTCGAGAGAAGACCTGCAGTAAGGTTGCTAAGTCAGCAAACAAGGATGATGAGCTTCCTTACAAAGGAGGGATGAGTGTCGAGGACGGGGCGACGAGTTAATTACTATGCAATATAAATATCAGGGAATACTCTTGACAATTTGGTTTATGGCAGTGTCCAATATTGTAGACACAAAATGCTGCTTTCATAAATGATACAAAATAATGGCTTAAACTCAAGTGGCTACACTTATATTTGCAACAAGAATCAAATATTACCCTGAATCTTACTAGAGCCAGTGAGAATTGAAAGCCTCCCAACTTGTTTGTGGAGGATAGACAATATCTTCACTAAAGACAACTCACAAGTTTATTCCAGCCAGTTGTACATGGCAGCTGGTGCCTCTATCAAACAACCATGGCAACAGGTGTCTTGGGGGGGTAAGTCTCATTGAGCAGGAATCAACTAGCCATGAAAACCAGTTGCTTCATGTAGAGTGAGGGGGCATGAAGACTGGAAGCATTATTCCTATTGTGGGGAGAAACTCTGGTGTAGTTAGTCCTCCATCTTTCAAAGGCATGTGTCCTTTTTTTTAATATATATCTCTCTTTTTTTAATATCTCTCTTGTAGTAGTTCCTGTAACACTGTGCAAGCTTCAAACACTATATACCACTGTTGCTCGAGCAGTGTGTCTAATCCTTTTATTTTGGCTAAATTCTACTGTGATAAACTGCTTTAATTATGCAGACTACTTTTTTAAAACATGCACAGGTACTTTAGTTTCTATTGTTGCTTCCTATGGGGGCTGGGGATTCTGTTCACTGTAATGTTTGGAAGCAAGCTGCCTTGCGTGCCTGAGGAGGTATATAGTGGAGGCAGTAGTCCTATCTATGAAATAATTGTCAGACTGAGGACAAGATTTGTCAATAAGAAATAAATTTCCCCCTAACACCAGTTAGGTACTGAAGCTGAGACAGATTTATCCATAAAGGAATAATTACATTTGGGGTAATATGTCTTGCAATTTTATAACTGTTTACTGATAGTTGTATAAAACTATCCCAAATTAATCAGGGTTGCCTAGTTCTGTGGATGCAGATAATATTGAATTACATATTTGAGTTACTTTTCCCTTACTGTTGTTGAGTAGCAGTCCTGTTTTCTCTTCCCCCTCCCCAATAATGTGACAGACAAGGTAGGTGAGTTAATGTCTTATTGAACCAACTTTGGTTGATGCAAGAGAGAGGCTTTCAAACTTAGAGATCTTCAACTTGACAGGAAAGGTTTGACCAACAGAAGTTGGTGTAAGATATTTCCTCACCCACTGTGTCTCCCCAATCTCCTGGGACCAGCATAGCATGCCTGTGTCTCACCAGAACTAGCTTACATTTGGTGGTAGATAAATGGCTCCATTTGATAGGATAAATATTTTTGTAAATCAGGTAAGGTGTTTTATAAGTGCCACCTATCTATCAAACTGGTGTTGTGTATAGGTAAACTACAGGCTAGAGCTCAATCTGGTTTCTTAAAGGAAAAGTATATGGGACAGCTGCTAGTGCTGACCTTACATACTGAAAGCTTCCAGCGTATTAGGGAGAAAATGCTTAGATATGTGAACTGCTCCAAGAAGTCTGACACTTTCCTTTTTCTAAAATTAAAAAGGTACCCTTTTTCCAGAAAGGCAGTAATGCATCTTATGCGCAAGAATATACATAGTGAAGCATACAATCCTAACTTCAGAAGTAGACTAACAAATTCTGATGGTTGGGATAGGCATTTAAAGAAAACCCTAAATCTTTATACTGAATGGTTCTAATTGGACTTTATTTTCTGTCTTCATGAACAGGTAATAGAACCATCACATTTGTATGGGGTTTTTTTACGACAATGTATGCTTGCAAAAAAATTGTAAGCTACAGTGATAACTAAAGTAGCAATGAGCCATGATAGTTCCAAAAGTGCCTTTAAATCTGGTAGACCTACCTCTGGAGGTGGGAGCATAGATTATTTTCTGCTTGCTTAAAGATATTAAGGAAGAGTGGGAAGTAGGGTTTGGACAGACAGACATATTCCTACATGCATGAGAACTTCAGTTTGAGTGACATAATTATGTCTCAAACCCCACAGCACCCTTAGCCACATAATTTTCTTTTAGTGCATCTTCACTTGACCCTCTCCATCTCCTCTAAGGAATATAACAATTGTAATCACTTTTCATATGAAGTGCGCATTGCAATTTTGCCCTGCTCCATCACCAAAAGAAACGAATGCTACATCCTGCACATACACTTTCACCTTAGGGACTGGATTAGAGAAGTAATTGGATGTGATAGATACTAGTTGTGACCCTAAGAAATTCTCATTGCCAATTAGCAAAAGCTAATAGTTTGAGATAGTAACTCCTTATTCATGTGACAAGCTCAATGCACCTAGCACACTACTTTCATGGTATTAATCTATAAAGAATGTCGTGAGGTATTCTATAAAGCTAGAATCACAGTGGACATTAATATAATTGTGAAATGTATATACATTGCAAGAAGTGGTATGCGTGTTGATATATATTGAAAAGATGTTCCTTCAGAAGTCTGAATCCAGGCATGGTGGACAAACAGGCTTCTACCACAAGGCTATCTCTCTCTTCATCTTCACCTGTCTGCTTAAGCAAATGTGTAAATTAAGCATTGAAGTCCATGTGAGAGGATGTGAGGTCATCAGCCCTGTTCCCTCTAAACTGCACTGCAGCACAGGTGATTGATCAGCCCCACCTAGTCAGCTCCCTACAAGGATCCCTGAGCCTCTTCCTGGGTGGGGCTGATTAATCACCTGTGAAGTTGTGCTGCCTTAGAGGGAACACTGGTTATCAACCCACTGAATAAAGTTGAGGGTCCCATCCTAACATGGGGGGGCAACCATGGTTTTATGGGGTTACAAGAAAAAAGCAAAGGGGCACTCCTCTGTCCTGTACCTGTGGAAGTAATTGGACGATCCAATTACATTCACGAAAAAAATCCCAGTCTTCCTTGGTTGAGAAGGCTGTAAGGGATGGTGAGGTGAGCCAAGACTGCTTTTAGACAGCCTCTAAACTAAAGGCCAAGTTTAATCTCTAGAAAGTGTGTATGGATTTTGTTTTATATAACACTTTTCTATTTCCATTATCCTTACTAGCTCTTACATCTTAACCTTTGATGATAAACTTATGACTGCTTTTGCTTTAAATATCTTGGTGCTTCAGTGTTATATAGGAGCTTAGCCTCCGCTCAAACAGGCAGGTTTACACATTCCTCTTGCGAAAAGCAGACCTGATATTTCTGTGCCTAGCCAGTGATGGGCTGGAAATCAGAGAGATGCTTGCAAAGGATCTCAAGGACCGAGGTGCACTTACTATTAAGCTGCTAAGTAAAGTGAGGGCTGGCGTTGCCCAAAAGAGATTGTATGGGTGGCTAAAAGACAGCAGGGGTCCTGGAGTTAATGCACAGTTAAGCACCAGCAAGTTTCTCTTTCTCACTGGAGGTAAGGATAACAAGGTGACGCACAGTCCTGGGCATTCTGAGAATGTTACATTAGCTGTGTAGATTAATGCATTGGAAGGCACAGTGAGGGACTCAGTTTAAGAACCCAAGTAGATCTTGCCTCCTTCCTGACATTTCTAGCACTGCCTCCCCACAAATAAATTATGCACAGTCAATAATCCATTCCATCCTTCTGAATAAATCACTCCTGACCCTCAAGCCACTCAATTCTGCTCCTGCACAGTTATATTCACATTCACACTTTTCGGAGCATCTCAGCTACTCCTCTTGCCTGCCTCCCTGAAAATCCGGGAGGGCCAGCCCTTGGCTCCCAGTTCCTCCTCACCCACCATTGAAATCAGTGGGAAATGCTTGTTTATATTAGGTATTAATTCAGCCCTAGTGTGTTCTCTACACCTGGTTCTGTACTACCCAGCCTACCAGTTCTGCATATATATGTTCTTATATTTAACCCAGTTCCTATTGCTGACTGTGATTATTTGCTTATAATACATTTTTGCCTGGAAGATTTCAATGTGATATAAATTTCTTGTTTCTATGAGTATTATGAAGAGGTAAAACAATTCCTCAGAGGTTATAGGCATTGTCAAGTGTCCAAAACAACACATTTTGAGCTGAAAGACACGGGGTTAAAAGAACGGAACCATTTTTTTAACATTTGCCTTATGTCATGCTAGGGACGAGGTCACAGCTGCACATGATAGTACAGTAAAATTGCCAGCAAGTTTCCTTTCCTGTAGCAGCCAAGGTTTGCAATTAAGTTAAACACTATGAGCCTTGTCCAGTAATGAGAATGTTACCTATGTTTGTGGGCACGATTATTAATGTGCATTCCTATGCTATTTCCTCTATCATATCAACGGGTAAACAGTGTGTTGTAACTTGCTGCATATAGATTTATTACCCTTTCCAGTTTGTTCCCTTTGATGTTTCTCATCTAGCAGTAACTGGGTTATTAATACTGCAAGATTAGTTGTGCATATTTTTACATCACTCAGCAAGTACAACTGTATAAACAGGAACCTGATGGACGGAAACAACATTTCTCTTTTGAAAAGTGGTTTGTTTTTTTTAATAAGGTCAGTACACAGGGTAGAGGTTTTAATAAACCCAGGTGCAGCTTCTCGGTTCTGTTTTCCACTAACAGAAATGTATCTGTTTGGAAGTTATTAAAATCCAAAAATGCCCAAGGGTTACAGTGGTGTAAATAAAGCTTGGGTTGCAGAGCTTTTTGGCTTGGGACGATGCCAAACCCTTCACATGTGCTGGCAGAAAACCCACTCAGGATCCTTCAGACCAAAGGGAAACTAGTAAACAATTCTATTAATCACTAAGAACTGCTAAGCACTAAGAGGCATAGGTTTCAACCACCAGTATAGAAAGAAATTGATAAGCTGTTATTCATCATCCTTCCCCTCACACAAACGCTTCCATTCAGCTATGTTTCAGAATATGTAGCAGGGGCTAGGCCCAAGTGTGACTGGGTCTAGTCACAGAAGATCCCTTGGGGCTGCTTCCTGGTGTGCTGACAAAGCTACTGACTCTTCCCTCCTTGCTCTCTGGGGCTTCTCACCACGCTGTCCTGCTGGGCCAGATCTCTTGGTTTCCTCTGGCCAAGGCACAGAGCTGAGATCACTTCTTCGAACCATGCCAAAAAGTCATCTGTACATGCTCATGCTTCACACGCTCCACTTCCACTCCCTCGTATCCCACTCAGATATCAAGTGGCAGGACCTCCTACCATCAATAGAGGGTGGGGAGTCCTTATTCCACCTTGGTTCCATGGCCGGCCGGGAACATCAGCTGGAGAATCCTCCACGGTGCTGTGAGTACTGGCATGTATTTGTCACGGTTCATGCCTGTCCCTGACACTTGCCCCTTCTGCAGCAAGAGGGAGACCCTGGCACACGTTAACCTTGAGTGCGCCAGGTTTCAGCCCCTCTTTGAGCTCTTCCAGAACCTCTTGTTGAGGTGCTGGCTGCACTTCTCCCCTCACCTCTTAATTTACACAGGGCCGGCCCGAACCCTTTTGGCGCTCTGGGCATTGGCGTGTGGTGCTGCCCCCCGGCGCACAGCTGCTCAGCCCGGCCCGGCCAGCGCTGCTGCTGGCGCCGTGGGGCTGGTGCT